GTTGTAATGTTTAACTCTTTTATAGCTCCATAGGCTAGTAGGCTATGTTGCATGTGATGATGTTGGAGGTGGTCGAGATTTATCCTTTTCTCACAGTACTTGATAGAAATAAACGTATAAATTTGTTACTTGTTTACATGCGAAAACAAGGATACATATCTGAAGGATATGTAGTCATGCAATGCTTGCTGACGTTGTAAACATTAACAATTTGAGAACCAGGTATAATTTGCATGGTATTGGAAGATATGATAACTTATAAGCGATTGTTCAATTTAATCAGCACGATTTACTGTCAGAACCAGAACAAAAGTGGATGTTTTAATAGTTAAGATGACATTTTCTGGTGAAAATTATTATCATTCTTCCAAAAATAATAATCTGTGATTCTGAATGCCAGTATCCACATCGGCGCGGTGACCGACAGCCGTAGTCTCCTCAAACATCGTGTTAATCCACGCTGTGCGGTGTTGAACTACAACTCACATAAAGTTGATCATTCCACAAATGACTGCAACTTCAGATTTCGAACAGAGATGGCGACAAAGAAGAAAAATTTGGCCCCTTGAGGAGTAGTATGAAGCTGCAGACTCGGAGACCTGCATCTACAGTGCCCCTGCACCCAGAGTCCCGCATTCTCAGACCCCTCGTTTTTCGAGACAGCGCCTCCTATCAAATTGTATCGGATAAACATGTGAAGAACAGGCTATCTTCAATTTTATTTAGCGAATCGCTCACAGCCGGCCCGAGCCTTTTGGGGGCCCTAAGCAGAATTTGATTTGGGGGCCCCTCCCATGACGCGGAGTTACCTGTGTTTGACGATTATTGACAAAAATGTCACGCAATAATGATACATTATAAATGAATACACTTAGGTTATGTATTAGGCTAGAACAAAATTAATACTTAATAAAAAGAAAATAGATGCCTACTTAAAGTCCCTGTGGACTGGACCGGAAGTTGCAAACGATTTTTCTCCAGTGCTGTGACGTATTTCCAAGTGAAACGGAATATTGAACAGAGGGCAGGGTTTTACTCTAGCGCTCCTCCTCTCCATCTCTCGCTCAAAGCAAACTAACGGTTTGAGGGGAGTGGTTAAGCGTTTCCCCACCCAAGCTGTGAAACCTACGTCAGAAACCGTTCCAGACCGGAAGTAACTATTCAGATTTTGATTAAAGATTACCAAGGTAAAAAATTTTTTTAATATATATTTACTTGCACGGATTAATTGTTCACCACAAGACTAGTAATATGCGCTAACAAAATAAATAGGTTTAATTTTGATTTCACAGGGACTTTAAATAAAAAAAAGTTTTAACAGTCTTAAAACTGTCTCAAAACATATAATAGAAATTATTTGCTAAAATTATGACAAAACTGAGAAACATAACAACAAGCCTATTGTTAAAAACTAAAAATATTTGGCCTACTATTTCACAACTGTCTCAATACAGTGTAACTGTCCTCAAAAGCTTTATTATTATTATTATTATCGTAAGAGACTTTGTTAGATATATTACATGACATAATCCAACAAAGTCTGTTACTATAATACCGGTAATGATGTTCTGGCGCTCGTTGTATGCGTGCAATGTGTTTTTCCCCTCGGGGCTTGCCGTAGATGGGTCGTGCGCAGGCTGCGCACTTGGTAGGCTACTGGAGTGTTGTATGGCAAGCCGTTTTAGCTTAAATTGTACCTTAATTGTGCCTTAATCGTCATTATTGCTTTTTTACCAGTAAGAATTCAATTAGAGAGCTTTACAATTTAATTCCTACTAGTAGCAATTACAATTATAGAGCTCTCTAATTAAATTCGTACTAATAACAATTACGATAAGAGAGCTCTTTAATTTGATTTTTACTAGTAAGAATATAATTGCAAAGCTCTTTAATTGAATTGCAGAGCTCTGCAATTGCATTACTAGTAAGAATTAGGCTACATTAGAGAGCTCTCTAAATCAGTTTTTACTAGTAAGAATTACATTAAGAGAGCTCTTTAATGCAATTATTACTAGCTTTGATTTTTACTAAGAATTTTATTACTAGCTTATTACATTCAAGATGATTAAGTTACCGATGACACAATAAAGTCTCCATTTACAACCAGGTAACGTTAGCCTATAATACCGGTATTGTGTTTTATGCATACGAATACTGTATTTTTGCTACTTAAAAGTGATCTTAATGTCTTTTGAAAGTAAAAGTTAATAATATTTCAGTAATTCATATAGATGTAACGTTAATGGAAGAATTGGAAGGAGCGTTTAGTCTAAAACTATTTTCTGTCATTTGTGTTTCTTGCAATGTTTGTGCTTGTAATATCGTTTTATGTTGACAGACCATGTTTTTACACCAAATATTTCAGGTAATTACTCTGGTGCTGATGCTCCATGTAAAGGACACAATCTGGCAACTATTGAAGCAAACAAACCTGCAGAGGTGAATGGACATGGGAGCTAAAGAGCCTTGTAAGTGGTTTTGTAACTTTTGTTGTAAATCTTCATAGAATTACCTTTACATTATAGTAGGCTACAGATTATAGTAATCTTGTTCAAATGTTAGGAAATAATTTTATTGGTTTAAGAAAGCCAACATATTGCTAACCTATTTACACTATTATTATTATTATTATTATATCTGAGACATAAATGTTCAACTCTTGGTAAATGGTAAATGGACTGCATTTATATAGCGCCTTCATAGACCTAATGGCCACCAAAGCGCTTTACAGTTTGCCTCACATTCACCCATTCACACACTCTTTCATACACCGACGGCGGTGTCAGCCATGCAAGGCATGCCATCCAGCTCGTCGGGAGCAGCTGGGGTTAGGTGTCTTGCTCATGGACACCTCGACACTTGGTCAGGTGGAACCGAGGATTGAACCACCAACCTTTCAGTTCGTAGACAACCCACATGAACCACTGAGCCACTGCCGCCCCACTCCTAGAGCAACTCTTAACTCCTAGAGCTTTAGTGCTAAAAGCACAGACCATAAAGGATCTCATCCAAAAGACATCCAAAAATGAGAATTAGCCCATGATTTACACACCCTCAAGGCATAGGTGTATATGACATTCTTCTTACAGACGAATACAAACGGAATTATATTTAAATTGACTTTTAGAATGGCAGTGAATGGCCGTCTATCAAGGCGCATCCATCCATGATAAAAGTAATCCACCACATGACTTATAAAGGCCTTTTGAAGCGAAGCATTTGTGTAAGAAAAATATCCATTTTTAAAACTTTATTGGATTAAGATATTGGATATATGGATTAAGTATATGTTTTAAATTACAGAAACAAAAAAGATACTAATAATTTATCATATTTATACTTTTAATAAATTAGTCTTTACATAATTTCTGATTGCTAATTAGGCTGGCTAATTTTGAAAGTTTTCAATGTCAATATTGCTTGTGATCTTAATGTATGTGTATTCTCTATGTTTACACTTTTGCATGATCTTCTTTTTTAGGCTATGAGGAAAAACTCTACCGTGCACACAGTGACAGAGAACAGAGCTCAATGCTGCTAACTGGGGGAGCAGCTGGACAACTAGAAGAGAGAATAGTAGAACACTATTAATACAGATTCCTGGATTATTCTTCTGCAAGAACCAAGACAAGCAAAGACTGATGATGAGTGCTCTGAGCAAACACCGCAGTCAAGACGCATGAGTGACTTTACGGAGTTCTACATGTAATGTTGGGCATTTACTGTAGCCTACGCAGAACTTCTAATAATTTATGTGGATGCCATTCATAAACCTGTTAGATTTTGATGTTTTAGTTGTGAGATTAATAAAATTGTATGCTTTAACAATGTTATAGCTAAGCATTTTTGGGGGGGTTTAAGAGAACATTTTGGGAACAAAAATAAACTTCCGCTAAAAACTTTGTAAGAAAGTTAGGGGATAATGTTTTACAAATGTTATGATTAAACCTTTATACTCCTTAAAGTATAAAGGAGTATAATAAACCTTATAACCTTAAATACTCGATCTAGTTCCATTGCTTAGCAACGGGAAGAAACTCCTGTAACTTCAGTGCCCAACCCATATCACGACAAGACGTGAAATAATCACGTTGGTCCAATTTGGAAAACGTGTAGATGTCACGGTTTAGTTTAAACTCAGAACCATAAATAGGGCTATACTGCCCTCTTGTGTCAAATTATATTTCTATATTTATTTTTCCAAAAAATAAAACTAAACCCGCAATAGATGCGCTGGCTCAGTTGATAGAGCTTTGGGCTTTAATCAAGAAGATCTGAGTTCAATTCCCATACTTGCGTTAAATTGTTGTGATTATATCAAACAAAGTGGCCTAAACAATATTTCTTCAACCCGGTTTTTACAGTCTATGATCTAGACGCAATGCAGGCAGACACAGCAACATATGAATAGTCCATTTAATATTTGTAAAGATAGTTTGTAACAAGATTAGAGCCGTTTTTTTCATTAATAATAAAAAGTAAGTTATCCAGTGAAAACACCTTTTAATGATGAGAGCAAAAATTATTTATTTCAAAAATCCAAACATTAACATTTAAAATTAAAGTTTTCCCTTATTGGCTACAAGTCTGATGCAATGATATCATCATGTGCTAGATTTTCACCATATCAAGCATATATAGCTATATATGAATGATAAATATAAAAACGAATAAAAATGAAGTCATAACTTTTCATTGCTGTTAGGCTGTCAATTAGAAAGGCTCATGCCCAAGGTGAAAAACAAAACAAATGGTAAATGACGTGACCAGCTGCTTTTTACCCGCATTTGGCGGGTGTTAATACTTTACTCTTGTAAAATACTTAATCACTTGAAGAACCACAGATATATCAAAATAAAACGTGTTCAAAAGAAATTTGGATTCTGCTAATGTATTTAAAGTAATGTTAATAACACGTTAAGTAATAGCTATAATAAGGAGAACGTGCAGGAAAGTAACACCAGACCACAGAGGGTTAACAAAAGATATTTACAGTGACTGCGTCACCAGCGCACACCGGAAGTAAATCGCAATGGACAACAGTCAATTTCAAGTTCATGTTGTCAAAACTTTTCGTTCGATGTCTTGTTTTCTGTATTAAACAGAGTCACAAGCGCACAGTGCCATAATGGCACACCGATATCTGCATCTGTCAAGAGGCTGCAGGAACCTTCTTCACGCCCTGCTGCCAAATGTCAGATCAACAAACCGCGTGCATTCGGTAAATGTTTTTCAATGGATCTTTCATCATCCATGTATGCATCACCTCTTCACCATATGCTGTGATCTGATATTACAAATACGCATTTTATCATTCGTGTCATCTGGTTGTCTTGTCTGATGCAGACTGCGGTGCTATAGACCGGAGAGGTTGATAGAAAACAAGGGTCGGCCTGCATGACATTGCGTTGGGTAACACGTTATGTCACGGTTCTTCTCATTAAATCCGTTATACCCTCAAATCTAACGAAGACCGCTTCTAAAACTACAGTCTGTGCTGTTGATGGCTCGACGTTACTTGTCTAATGTTTCATTAATTCGTGTAAACATTGTTATTATAGATATAAAAACAATTCAGAACATTATTGCCATTTCACTGCTTGTTTTCATAGTATCTGTTGAAAATAGTAGTTACACAATTCCCAATGGGCTAACTTTACAAATGACGATCTTTAAAAGCACTTTTACACTTTAAAAATAATTCAGGAATTTGAGCTTCTCTGGCAAAACCCTCAAGAAAACCTTAGAAAGGGCAGAAAACTGCAAGTTCCTTCAGGAGCAATGAACACTGTCAACGTCATGGTCTTCCTTAAACCAAGTCTGGCAATCTGAGGGACCAAATTGTTAATTGAGTATCATTTAATTTTTACAGCAGTCTGTTGTTCAGCAGTTGTGATTATGTATATTGATCATCTCAATGTATTTGGTTTTCGAAGGTTCAGGGTGTTGGACAAATCGTCCTAGACAGAAGATCTTTGCTCTCTCAGGTCTTAGGCACCTATAGAAGCTTATGCTCCAAACCCCCCAAAGGTGTGAAAATCTCATTAATTCTGAGATAGAGGTGCATTAAACTGGGCCATACTTAGAATCTTCTGCTAATGGCATTTTTTCTTCTTGCATTTAAGGATTTGAAAAATACTTTCCTAATAATAAAAATGGTGGGCCAAAAAACGGTGAGCCATCCAACGCTGAAGTCAAAGGTAATATATTTGATAAGCTTATAATTCAAGTTAATAGGATTTTATATAATGCCATTCTGTTTTCTTTATCTGTTTTAACCTAGAGCCCAAACCAACCAATGCTCAGAAGACCGCCGGTGGAGGTGGAAGTAGTGGAGGAGGAGGCGGAGGAGGAAAAAGAGGGGGGCGGAAAGATGAATCCACGTGGTACAGCCGTCTCCAAAAGGTTAAACATTCTGTAGAAATTATTAGTATTATTAAAAAGCTTGTTAACTACTCTATTTAGTGAGGTCGATGTTATGATATTTACCCCGAGTAGTTTTTTTTATGGTTGGGCCGATGGATGATATCATCGTCCATGCCGTCTAAACATTCCGATGCAAGTGAAAAGGATTATCGAAAAAGTTTTAAAGGTTTAAGCAGACAAAATAAGAAAAGTCTTCCGTTTCAACGAAGATCGAGTTATGACGTTTTGAATTACAGGGTCATACAAAAACGACAAAATAAATTATACATGGATGAATCGTTTACAATAATATCAATAACATTCATAGAGTGAATTTCTATTTCATTCAGATTTTAAACACAGGTCCTTATTTCTCTGTCACTCTCATGCAGGGTGATGTGCCGTGGGACGATAAAGAGTTTCGTTTATATTTCCTGTGTGGATCAGCCTTCTGGGCAGCTGTCACATATTATTTCTTCTTTCGAGATGGAGGAAGGGAGGTCACCTGGAAAGACTTTGTAAATGGTTACCTTGCTAAAGGAGTGGTATGTAATTATTTTTGATCTGAGTTTTCAATTAATGTTGTTTGATGTTTCTTTCTAGCTACACTTAAACTTTGACCGGTGAAGTTATGTATTGTATCTTTTCTAGGTTGACAGATTGGAGGTTGTAAACAAGCGATATGTAAAAGTCATCTTCACCCCTGGTAAAACTCCAGTTGATGGGGTGAGTTTAAGTTAATAGGATCAACTTATAATATATGAGCCAGGCTGACATACACTGCCTTTCAAAATTTTGGGGTCAGTAAGAGATATATATATATATATATATATATATATATACACATACATGCTGCATATATAAATAAATAATCTTACTGACCCCAAAATGTCAGTAAGATTATTTATGAAATTATATATATATATAAATTTCTATTAATCTATTATTAGATATATTTATGAAATTATTACTTTTATTCAGCAAGAATGTATTACATTTATCAAAATTGACTGTAAAGACATTTATTATGTTACGAAAGATTTTGATTTTAAATAAATGGTGTTCTTTTGAAATTTCTATTCATCAAAGAATTCAAATTTACAAGCAGCACAACTGTTGAAAAGTAAAATATATTAAAATCTTATTTTAAATTGTAATATTTCACAGTTTTTATTCTTATTTTTGATGAAGTCAAATAAATGCAAACTTGGTAAGATAATTCTTTCAAAAACATGAAGAAAAAAAAATCCAACCAACCACAAAAGTTCGATTGTGTATGTCTTAAAGTCTATAAAGACTATCATGATAATGACACACAATGAACTGTGATCTTATCTTCAAACAGCAATACGTGTGGTTCAATATCGGCAGCGTGGACACATTTGAGCGGAACCTGGAGACCGTTCAGATAGAGATGGGTATTGAAGGAGAGAACAGAGTGCCGGTGGTCTATTCCACAGAAAGTGATGGGTGAGACATTGACTTAAATGTGCAGTTATACATTACCAATTGGAAGCAATTTAGAGATAATGTAAAGAAAGAACAAGAAATAATTTAGGAGAGGACATCAGAATTGATTTTGGTATCCTCAGTCAAACCAAAGGTTTAAATACTGGGCAGTTTTGTTTTTTAATCATAAGTTTTAATCATATTCTTCTATCTTTTTCAGGTCATTCCTCCTTAGCATGTTTCCCACCGTACTGATCATTGGGTTCTTGCTGTTCATGCTGAGGAGAGGGCCAGCCGGAGGAGGGCGGCCGGGGAGGGGCATGGGTGGGCTATTCAGTGTCAGTGAGACCACTGCTAAAGTACTACGAGACGAAATAGACATCAAGTTCAAGGATGTGGCAGGCTGTGAGGAGGCCAAGCTGGAGATCATGGAATTTGTTAACTTTCTCAAGAACCCAAAACAGTACCAGGATTTGGGTGCCAAGATTCCAAAGGTAGCGCAAGACTTTGAAATATGCATAACCACCAGCTTGTAATTTAGTAAAAGTGAACTGAGATTTCAAAAGACTGTTTAATCTACTTGTTTAGGGGGCTATTTTGACTGGACCCCCGGGCACAGGAAAGACTTTACTAGCTAAAGCGACTGCAGGAGAGGCTAACGTTCCCTTCATCACTGTGAATGGATCAGAGTTCTTAGAGATGTTTGTAGGAGTTGGGCCAGCCAGGGTAAGTGCACTGTCTGTCATCCTATGATGAGCTTTATGGTCTTCAGCCAACTTAGTTCACAGTGTGACTCACTCTTTTTGGGTAGGTTCGGGATCTCTTTGTATTAGCACGGAAGAATGCCCCATGCATTCTCTTTATAGATGAGATCGACGCTGTAGGACGAAAGAGAGGCAGAGGCAACTTCGGTGGACAGAGTGAACAAGAGAACACACTCAACCAGTTACTAGTTGAGATGGATGGTTTGTATCTGAAAAACAGTAGTTTCCATGCTTTGATTTTAGATGTTCTTATACATTATAATTTCTTTGGGTTATAAATCATAATCCAATTATGAGCGTTTTATTGGTCTCAAACTCTAGATCTTTATTTAAAGTCAGTAATACAATGATTTGATGTAATTATATGCAAATTTATATCTTTCTCTCCTGTATAGGATTTAACACTGCTACCAATGTTGTAGTGCTGGCAGGCACCAATAGGCCAGATATTCTAGATCCAGCTCTGATGAGGCCCGGGCGGTTTGATAGACAGATATACATCGGTAAGAGTTGAATTTTTTTATAGTAGATTTTAAATGAAACCATTTGAACTAGGGAACTTAAATTGCAGCCAATTAAAAAGCAATTTCCTCATTAAGTGAGAATTTATTATAATTAAGTATGTATGGCACTACCATTCTAATGTTTGGTCAAGAAACATTTAGTTTTATTAATGTTGAAAAGGTACTCTATTACTAACGTAACCTCGGTTCTCGCTTGATGAGGGAACGAGTGTTGCATAAGCTAGCTTTTATGATAGACAGATATACAATATATTACTGTCCATATTACAATATATTTTCAAAAGGTAATGTATGTTTTATACAAATGCATAATAATTGCAGGACCACCGGATATCAAAGGCAGAGCTTCTATATTCAAAGTCCATCTGAGACCACTAAAGCTGGTTGCAGACTTGAACAGAGAAAATCTGGCAAGGAAAATGGCTGCTCTAACACCCGGTTTTTCAGGCATGTAAAGACTTTTTATTTTGGTTTCAAAAGTTGTTTATGAGCTGTAAACTGATTTTCAATGCTCACTGACAGGTGCGGACATCGCTAATGTGTGCAACGAGGCTGCACTAATTGCAGCCCGCCACCTTTCTGACGCCATCAACCAAAAACACTTTGAGCAAGCCATCGAACGAGTAATTGGTGGTAAGTGACAGATGTGAAATTTGGAAATCGCACTTTCAATATTAGACGGCATGCATAGTTATTACAATATTAGACGGCATGCATAGTTTTGTGTGAAGTTCATACAGCTGTCTGCATGTTTAGGTCTTGAGAAGAAGACGCAGGTGCTACAGCCAGAGGAGAAGAAGACTGTGGCTTACCATGAGGCTGGTCATGCTGTAGCTGGCTGGTTCCTTGAGCACGCTGACCCTTTGCTTAAAGTAAAACTCCCACTTACTCACCAGTACTTCTGTGCTTTTTCAGTGTACTCAGTCATATCGTTGGTCATTTCAGGTGTCCATCATCCCACGTGGGAAGGGTTTGGGCTATGCCCAGTATTTGCCTAAAGAGCAGTACCTTTACACCAAGGAGCAGCTGCTGGACAGGATGTGCATGACGCTGGGTGGACGCGTGTCTGAGGAGATCTTTTTTGGTCGCATTACCACAGGGGCACAGGATGACCTGAAGAAGGTGACACAGAGTGCCTATGCACAGGTGAGTCACACATTTATTTGATTTGATCATTGGAAAGTATAATTTGTGGTTCATACATTGCAGTGGATGATTCCTGATTTGCGTTTGATAGGATTTTACTTAAATTTTGAATTTGTGCTGTTTTACTGTGTTTAGGGATGTCTCTATACTTGTAACAGATGAATCAGGCCATAGGGTAGAATTGGAATCAGATAAGAGTTGTATGGTTTTTATAACTAAATATAATCAACACCATAGAACTTCAACTAATAAATCATTAATCACATAATCCAATCCTAAACAATTCAACATCAAAATAGTAAGAAACAATCACATAGAACATTTCAGAATTAGACAAACGCAATCTCAGGAATTAACAAATCAAAAGGGCACAAACTTACATTGTCAGGAACACATCAACTCTTCAAAGACGAGAGGAGAGAAAGAAAGGACAGTCTGTTTCCATTGCATATGGCACACACCAAACTACCTTATCACTCATTAAATGCACCTGAGGAGACTTTGCTCCTCCCATGACTGGCTATGTCATGTGATCCATAGGAATTCTCAATTATTCTCAATTCTCAAATAAAAATTAATTATTTTTCCTCAGCAAGGATACATTAAACTGACCAAAAATGCCAGTGAAGACATTGATAATGTTTCAAAAGATTTCTATTTCAAATCAGTTTTGTTCTATTGAATTTTCTATCCATCAAATAATCATGTTTTTTTTTTAACCACAGTTTCCACAAAAATATTAAGCAACACAACTGTTTTCAACATTGATAAAAAATAAGAAACTAAACTCCCCTAGAAAGTGCCCCTATTATGCTATTTTAGTTTCCTAATGTTGTTTTGGAGTCTCATACAATAGGTTTACATGATGCATCAAAGGGTAAAAAAATAAATAAAAGTTTAATTTCCTCATAATATACATTTGCACATCACCGCATTTTCACTGATTCTCAAAAGACTCGTCAGATAAATCTCTCTAAATCCCTCTTTTCCACAAGCTACTCTGCTCTGATTGGCCAGACAGCTCAGTCTGTTGTGATTGGTTTACTGTGTACAGCACATTGAAAACAAATATGCCTATTGCATTGCAATGTAAATACAATGTATGTAATGTATGTAGAATGAATCAGCAAGAATGTAAATACATGAAGGATACCACAATGGTGTGTTACATATATCCTTGTGGTATCCTTCATGTATTTACATTCTTGCTCATCTATCAATATTGTTAATAGTGGTAGAGGCACTTTTTTAATGAATTTTTCTAGGCCGTGTTTTAGCCTTTGCTTAGCTATCTAATATATTTCTAATGGATTCTTTTCTATTATACATGTTGGATATAGACTTCTTACATGTTTTTATCTGTTTTCTGATGTAATTGCTTTTTCTCTTGATTGGTCCTGTCATGGATGTGTGTGATCATGTGACTATGCATGGCTGTATATATGGAGGTGTGTCTCCCCACTTTTTTGTGTCTGATGAAGGGCTTGGCCCCGAAACGACACGTGGTGAGCAACTATTAAAATTGCTAAGGAGCATGTTCTGGTGTCTACCCAGCGCCCAGTTTTATGGTTCTGGATGTGCGTGCTGCACCTTTTGAATAAATCATTCCACAGACCCCAGCTGCAAACTGTTACTCTTCTGTCTACAGATTGTGCAGTTTGGCATGAATGAAAAGGTAGGACAGGTGTCATTTGACCTGCCGCGGCAGGGAGAGATGGTTCTGGAGAAACCCTACAGCGAGGCCACGGCCCGCCTCATCGACACGGAGGTCAGAAACCTCATCGGCATGGCCTATGAGCGCACACATCAGCTGCTCTCTGAGAAGAAGGCTGAGGTGGAAAAGGTATGGCAGGCCATAACCAGGATCAATGCGTTTTACATTGACTCATTTTCATCACATCGTCATGTCAAAAGAACTGTGTTCAGAGAGCAACAGTAATTCTCTCTCTTCACCACTAGGTGGCACTGCGTCTACTGGAGATGGAGGTGCTGGATAAGAACGACATGGTGGAGCTTCTGGGCCGAAGGCCGTTTGCTGAAAAGTCGACATATGAAGATTTCGTGGAGGGAACGGGGAGCATGGACGAGGACACATCACTGCCAGAGGGCCTGAAGGACTGGAACAAGGAGCGAGGCAGCGAGAAGGAGGAGAGTACGGAGGAGCAGGTGGCCCGACAGATCACTGGTGGCATGCCCTTCTGAGGATATCCGTTCACTTTGACCCTGAAGGGTCAGAGCACTTATTTATAAGATGGGAAACGCTTGTCTGACGGACACTGAGGCAAGTACACTGTTCTTCAGGAGAGCTGTGATTTAAGGGCTCTTACTGGGTAGAAAGCATCAGACTTATATTGTGTACAGTAGGGTGTTTATGAAATACAACATTTCATGTGCAGAAGTTAGTGTTTCAGCAAAAGTGAAACAGCTTTGAAAAGGATCAGAAAATCTTCTGTTGAAGGTGAAGTGTAATTTATGACATCTCAGCGCTTTGCCAAAAAATCAGGCAAAAGAACTGTAGCTTGTCAAAAAAGATTTGCGAGCCATTTAAATTTTACCCATCAATGACCAAGAAGACTATATATATATATATATATATATAGACGTTTAACAGGAAATGTGTTGCATCACCTGACCTGTACAGGATGTGTTTTTCTTTTTTTCTAAATATTAGGATTCCAGTTCAAATCTTCCTCAATTTCGTGAGCTTTCTGAAAGTTCATTTTGCAGTGGTGCTTACTGGCTGTGTAAAAGTCCAAAATATACGATTATGAATGTTGTAAACATATCACAAAGTCACTCGTGTTAACTAACATACTCTTTTCTCTCACAGATTTGCCATGTTGTGCTGTCATGGGTGTCAGGCTTTAGTTTCTATGTGATTTAATGCAGTTTATGATCACATCTTGTAATTGAATGACAGAGCAGTCATTTTTGATATCTTTTCTTCTGTTGAAGTTTATTTGGATCATTTATGGCCCCGGGCAGCTGCTCTCTGTGGTACAGAATTGATTAAACTGTAACTCAATTATAAATAGTCGCATTCGCAATAAAATAGGATGCAAACATACACAAATGCAGAAGCAGTAAATAGTTCATTGAAGGTGTGCGATTTTGAGATTCACTGTTTATTCTACAGTATGAAACAAGCTTTGAGGGTTTAAACCCTTTTGTGACTTCAGCAGGTATTGCTTGATACTACATGTGTATTTTGTTTTGTGAAAAAGGTTTTGAACATATTCAATAACCTGAATAAATCTACATAAACTATAAATTATTTTTGTTTAGTTCTTGAAAACTCTATGCGTGGCAGGAAATTACTTGTTTTGTCTGTGACATGGAATTCAAATTGCTGGGAGATGCACAGATCCACGGCTTCAGACAGCAACAAAAATAAAACAAATCAAGTTTGCACTGAGTAGGTAAACTTTGAAAATAGCTCTTATGAAAACGTTATTTTTGTTGACTCAGAAATTGTTGCTGTGATCAACTGGTTGTTTGTGTAAAAGGGTGGCATGTCCCGCCACCCCCACTGTTTTGCAGATATTTACATCACTGTTATTATTAACTAAAACTATTAAAAGGTTTTAGTAACAGAAATAAAGCTAAAATAAAATATAAACTTAAAAAAATTGATGGAAATTAGAAATCTTGCCTCAGCAACTAACTGAAATAAGTTTAAGTACTAAAATTATTTTGAAAAATAAAAAAATGCTTAAGAAATTACTTAAAAAATTGCTCATAGATTTCGCAAAGGGACAAGCATGTTATAATAAAATAAATTACATTTTTGATGTAGAAACACTGAAGCAATTATATAATGCATTATAAAAATATTTGTAATGCATAAATTATGCCTTGTAATGCACCTTATAATGCTTTGGAAATTATAAATAATTGTAACAACAGTTGTAATACATTACAATACTTGTCACATCTATTCATGATTACACCATTAAAACACGCAACATTTCAGATGTAAAAAGAAATCTGCAAATATTACAATGCATTTTAACTTTGGTTACAATTATTTATGAAAAGATATAAATGAATTATAATGTATAACTGAACAATCATCTTTTTCGAACGATTCTGTAATTTGTCAACTGAAGTTTGAAAAAAAAAAAAAAGGAGTAATTTGGCTCCTACATATTTCCTTTTAGGGGGCCGATGGCACTCTGGTCATTTTGTTTGTCTGGAGCTCTGAGATTTTAACGAGGAGAAATTCCACTCTTTGTTTTGATCTGTTGCTGGAAGCAAATATGGATTATAGTTTTTCTCAACAATTACAGCACCCTCATGGGAATCTGGTAATGTTTTCAAAGAAAGCATGGGTTTCAAATTTGTATTCACACGAGCGTTCGTGATGAGTGTTCGTGATAAGTGTTCAAAAATACACCACAGCCCACTTCCAATGGCGTAACTAACTGGAGCGCTCTGTTTAAACATCAGTATGAATCAGCTGCTCGCCTGCCGGGGAGGATGTCCACATTTAGACCAAGCAAACATGATGAGGCTTCCCTCGCTGTCTCCTCTGATTCAGCACTAAATAAAAGTCTTCCCCACACTGTGACATCACCTGCATAGATTAGTATCTCGCCTTTGGAAATTGGCAACTGCTGGAGTTAAAATCATACGGGAAGAGCTTTACAAAGTCGAAGGAGCTTTTATGTCACCATTTGAGACATTTGTCCTTGTCTATATGTATGTGAGGTGTGAGCTGGATGATATTATACTGTTTGCAATGATCTTACCAGGACAATTGGACATTTCGTGTGTTCAATTTAGCGGACCTCACCTGTACCATTTCCTGGTGAATTCAAATCATCCACCTTTAAAGTGAAATGTGTAATTTCTGCACCAGTATTGTTTTTAAAAATATAATCAGAAATGTTTGAAGTCATTATTTCCACAATTCTGTAATGTGCCACAGAAATTACACAAAGGGGATAGATCACCCAAAATAAAAATTCTGCCGTCATTTACTCGCCCTAATGACGTTCTAAAAAACGTTTCTTCTTCTATTGAACACAATATAAAGAAGAATGTTTTTGTCGATAGAACGAAAGTCAATGGGGTCCAATGTGTATGTTGATACATTGTATCAACAACATTTTTTTATAAACCATTACCTTTACGATGTACACGACACCACACTGTTTGTATAGGCATTATGTTAAGTATACTTTTCTGAGACAGTTATTTTTCTGTTGGTGACTAAGATAACAAATGTTTATCAAGAATACCTTTTAAAAGTTTTTGGAAAGAAGCCCTATTTCATACTCCACTCTTTAGTGTCACATGATCCTTGAGAAATCATTCTAATATGCTAATATGGCGCTCAAGAAACATATATTTTAATTATCAATTTTGGACTGTTGGACATTTTTGTGAACCCGTGGCACAGCATTTATTTGAAATGGGAATCTTTAGTGACACTAAATGTCTTTACTGTCACTTTTGATCAATTTTATGCATCCTTGCTAGTATTAATTTCGGTAACACTTTACAATAAGGTACATTAGTTAACTACATTAGTTAACATGTACAATATGTGAACAATACTTCTTCAGCATTTATTAATCTTAGTTAATATTAATTCCAACATTTACTAATACGTTATTAAAATCAAAGGTTGTATTAGTTAACATTAGTTAATGGACTGTGAACTAACATGAACGCACCATGAACAGCTGTATTTGTATTAACTAACATTAACAAAGATTAATAAACACTGTAACTAATGCATTGCTCATCGTTAGTTCATGTTAGTTAATGCATTTACTAATGTTAACTAATGAACCTTATTGTAAAGTGTTACCTTAATTTCTTTCAAAAACAAACAACTTATTAAACCCGAAACATTTAGTATAAATGTGTTATATGACTAGTCTACCCTATCTCACGACCAATTCGTACGAATTCGTACGAGTGATTAAAAAGTGGCTAATTCGTACTAATTCATACGACCTCACTCGTGCGAATTCATACGATTTGTCTAAACCCACGTGACGGTTATGTTTAGGGGCGGGGTCAGGGGTAGGTCATTCGTACGAATTCATACGAATTGGCCAATTCGTAAAATATGTACGATTTAGCAAAAATCGTACTAATTTGTACGACTGAGGTCGTATGAATTGTTACGAATTAGCCACCTCGTAAAATTCGTACGAATTCCCGTGAGATCGGGTTGGACTAGTATAATCTCTAAAAATGACTGGCTGTTAACATTGCACAGCAAGTTTACAAGGACTTTAGGAAGTTTGAGGGAAACTAACTGATCACGGACACATGTAAAAACGTGATTGCTTCAGGAGATGCAGAGGCAGTTGGCAGCGAAAGTTGCAAACATGACTGCAGGTGATTCATTGGTGATGATCAGCGTCTGGTGAAGCAGGTAGAGTGATGAAGAGAAAGAGCGAGGGATCCCGCCTACCATAAGTACCACAGCGTCACTCAGCAAGGCCTGACTAATACAGAAGTGTAGTAGTGGGTGAGGACTATCCTGCCAAAACTCACACACACACCAACTCCTTACATCATCAGACTCATAGTTATGACACCATACCATAACACGAGCATGAATACTACAGCAAAGAGCCATTTTTAACAACTTTCAGAGAATAGTTATCATATTTATGTGATGAATTCCAGATGAGGAAAGAACAAAAAAGGCCTGTGGGTTTGATTCAAGTAATCGAAGGAATGATATACGTATTTGTAAAGTGATAAAGAAGTAGGAACACGTGAGAATGCACAGATGATGAAGCCTGTCTTACTCATTCCCAGAGTCCCTCTATGTGTCATCTATAGAGAGAGGAGGCATGGCAGGCAGTAGGATGTGTGATGACACCACCTTATGGGAACCTTCAGAAATAGCAAACTCACCACACACGCTGCCCAGGCGAACATGTGGCAATGCTAAGAATAAGTGTTTAAGAGTTGAGAAGGATCTGTTAGAGTGTTGTGTTCCTTTCTAAGTGTTAACAAGACCAGGAATAGATATTTAGCTTTTGGTTGAACTCTCTCTTTAAAGGGATAGTTCACCCAAAAATGACAATTATGTCATCATTCATTCACCCTCAATTTGTTCCAAACCTGTCTGAATTTCTTTTTTTCTGCTGAACACAAAGGAAGATATTTTGAAGAATGTCAGTTGTGGGGCACCATTGACTTCCATACTATGGGAAAACGTACTCGGTTACTAACGTAACCTCCGTTTTCTCTAGAAGAGGGACTGAGCACTGCGTAATATCTTACGCTAGGGGAAAACCTCTTTTCCACGAGATATTGAAGCCAAAAATGATCCTTAATTTTTCAATTAATGTAATATGTGTTGCGGCAGCATGCAGACATGGCCAAGACGGCTCGCGTGCCTATTGGCTGTCCTGCTGCAACTGCAGCAGCCTATCGAGAGAGGCCCTTGGTGACATCAGATCCAATGTCACGTCCAGCCGAGACAGGCCTGGCCTGGGCTTATAAATACAGGTCGATGGGCTGTCAAAATCAGTTTGTTCATCGTAGAAGCGAACCAGAGCGTGTTGCAGGAACGGCAAAGATATGCAGTACTCGTTCCCTCTTCTAGAGATGTTCTCTTATGAAAGGTTCTCTCGTACTGCGCAATATCTCATGTTAGGGGAACACAGTGTAAAACTCTGTGCGTGCTGGGATCAAACACCAAAGTCCCAAGGGCAGGTGCCCAGGACTCATATAGTGAAGAGTGGCTAGAAGCATCATTCCCAATAAGTTAGCATCCTAATGTAATGTTTCACACCGTCAGGGCGAAAATGTTCGGCCTGAGCTGTGTAACGGTATGGATCTTACTTATTGCCCATGGAGTTATTTTATTGGTCAGCGAGTGGTGCTCAAGTGGTTTCAGTATTCTGAGCCAAAGCAACGGATCAGACAGTACTGATCTTTAGACCGACAGTAGTTTAGCCTGTAGGCGGGAAACTCTAGGTTATAGAAGGTGAAACAGACCGGAGGCACATGCCCGAGGTGATACTCGCGGTTTCTATCTTCCTTTGTGAGAGTAATGAGAGAGAGATTTCACAATATAACTCTTTTTATTGTATTTTTGATCAAATAAATTAGGCCCTGGTGAGCATAAGATACTTCTTTCACAAATATTTTAGAAATTTTTACCAACTGCAAACTTAAATGATATCAGTGGTTCATAAAGTTGCCATTGCTCACCTGCCTTTGACTTTCACCTACAACCATCATGATTGAGTGTTTTTAAAAGTGAAGCTCAAGAGGGACTGAGTTGTTCTG